CCAAAATTTAGTTTTAGAATGTTGCTACCATCCCCAAAAGATTTTTCATGCCCATTTTACTTCTACATATTTTTAAATGACGTTGGTTTTTTCCTTGAATCTGTTAACGTGATGACAGCTATAGATTTTTCTAACATGAACATCTTCTTAGTATCTTTTCAACTTTCTGTTAAATTCATGGTTATGATCCTTTTCATTTATCTGTGACATTTCTTTCTTGATTAATCTCACCAGTCTTATAAATCTTACTGAAAAATCAACTTTTGATTGTTAATCTTACTAAATATTTTCTTTCTAGTTTAATTTCATCATCTATTTGTCTACTTTCTTTCCATTTGTTGTCTCCCCTACTTCTTTATTCCAACTTTTTAAAAATAATAATATAATTTTTACATCATTTTGTACCTTTTTACAATCTCAGTTGTAATCCTCGTGGGCTTCCTATCACCAAATCACCCGTGTGCCATCATCATAGTCGAGTGCACTTCCCCCCCCTCCCATTTTTTATTCCGTTTACCACTCCACCCCTGCAAAATGTCTCTGGTATATAGTTGTTCATTATTATTATTATTGTTTTCTCCCCTGGTCCTTTATACGCCTGCTATGAGTGAAACAACCCAGTATTTTTCCTTTCCTTTCTGGCTTATTTCATCATCCATGATCTTTTCCAGCTTCATCCACGTTGCTGCAAAAGGCATGTGTTTATCTTTTTTGATTGCTGAGTAATATTCCATTGTACACATGGATCATATCTTTTTAATCCAGTCATCTACTTTTGGGCATTTGGGTTGCTTCCATGTCTTTCCTATTGTAGATAAAGCAGCAATAAATATGGGGCTGCAGGTGTCTTTTTGAATCAGTGTTTTTGTGTCTGTTGGGTAGATTTCTAGGAGTGGGATTGCTGGGTTATATGGAAGCTCCAATTTTTTTTCACTTCCATACTTTATTGTTTAAAGCAAATGTTTTTGAGCCATTCCTATGTAATAGCTTCACCAGAATATTGGTGTCTCTTTCCTTCATATGGATGAGTCAAAGCAAGTCTTTTTTTAAAAAATAATATAATAGTTCATTTTTACATCATTTTGTACTTTTTTTTAATCTCAATTGTAATCCCCGTGTATTTCCCATAACCAAGTCACCCATGTGCCATCACTATAGTCCAGTGCACTTCCCTCCCCCCACCGCTTTTGATCCCATTCCCCACTCTACCCCCATAAAATGTCTGTATATGGCTGTTCATTATTCTTATTATTTTCTCATCTGGTCCATTATACTCTTGCTATGAGTGAAACCATCAGATATTTTTCTTTTTCTTTCTGGCTTATCTTACTAAGCATGATCTTTCCCAGCTCCATCCATGTTGCTGCAAAAGACATGTGTTTCTTTTTTTTGGTTGCTGAGTAATATTCCATTGTGTATATGTACCACATCTTTTTAATCCAGTCATCCATTTTTGGGCATTTGGGTTGTTTCCATGTCTTTCCAATTGTGAATAAAGCAGCAATAAACATGGGGTACAGGTATCTTTTTCAATCAGTGTTTTTGTGTCTTTTGGGTAGATACCAACAAGTGGGATTATTGAGTCGTAGGGAAGCTCCATGTTTAGCAGTTTGAGAAACCTCCAAACAGTTTTCCATAGTGGTTGTATGTTTGCATTCCCACCAGCAGTGCAGGAGAGTTCCTTTTTCTGCACATCCTCGCCAGCATTTGTTGTTGCTAGTTGTTTGAAGATGTGCCATTCTCACTGGAGTGAGGTGGTATCTCATTGTGGTTTTAATTTGCATCTCCCTTATTACGAGTGATGTTGAACTTTTTAAAAAAATATTTATTTTATTTATTCATACAAAATTGGGGTACAGGCCAGGGATGCAGAGGGTAAGACTCACCAGGGACAGAGTGGGGAGCAGAATAGGCAGATCGACGAAGTACACTGCTGAGGGGAGCAGCGGGCATGTCAGGAGAGGTCTGCCACGCCATGTGGATTTCCTCTGGGATAGAACTCATGCGAAGTGGCTTCTTAGTGCAGTGCTTTAACCCGCTGTGCCACCAGGGAGGGCCTGATGTTGAACGTTTTTTCATATGCTTGTTGACCAATTTATCTTTAGAGAAATGTCTTTTTAGCCCTTCTGCCCATTTTTTTTGATGAGGTGTACTTCATTTTTGTTGATTTTCATCAGTTCTTTGTATATATTTGTGATCAATCCTTTATCGCTAGTTTTGTGTGAGAAATTTTTTCCCAGTTAGTGGGATGTGTTGTTTTTTGTAATGTCTTTTTTTGCTGTATGGAAGCTCTTTAATTTGATGTAGTCCCATCTGTTTATCCTTTCCTTAAAATATGGAATGCTTCACAAATTTGTGTGTCATCCTTGTGCAGGGGCCATGCTCATCTCTGTATTGTTCCATTTTAGTATATGTGCTGCTGGAGCGAGCACCAACTTTTTTTTTAAAGAAAGATTTATTTATGTATACAAGAACTGGGGTGCAGGCCAAAGATGTGGGGTGCATGGTGAGAGAATTCACCAGAGACAGTGTGGGGAGCAGAACAGGCAGATGGAGTGAAATACACTGCAGAAGGGAGCAGCGGGAGAGACAGGGGAGGCCTGCTATGCCACGTGGGTCATCTCTCTGGCTGGGGATCAAACTGGTACTGCAGTGGCTTCGGAAAGCATCATAGTGCTGCCTTTTCACCCACTGCACCACTGCCCCCCACCCCAACTTCTTAAGTTTGATGTTCATACTCCATCTGTGTTCTTCTTAGATAAGCACTCAGGTCTACAGATTTTCTCTACAACTTTTGTGTACCTTCAAGTTCTGATATGCAGCTTTCCGGTTGAGTACTTTTGAATTATTTTTATTATACTTATTATCTTTAATAAAAATTTACTGATTTGCCATTACTTTACATAGCTATGTAATTCAGGAATATAACTTCATACCTCAAAATGTTCACATGCCACCAAACCCACTCTGCAAATACTCTACCATATTCCTTCCTCCCTCATCCTCCTCTGTTAACACTGTATTTTAAGTTCTAAGAGTTATTTTTGTTGTGTTTTACCAGTTTTTTTTCCTTTTGCTATTAATATTCCATACACGCATGGAACCATTTAGTAATTGTCTTTTACTTTAACTTGCTTTCCTTAGCAAGTCAAGATCCAGGGAAATAATGTCCCAGAAAGCACTATTTCATCTTCTTAAATAGCTGTGTAGTATTTCACTGAGTGTCCATACTACAGTTTCTTTATCTGGTCATCTGTTGTTGGGTATTTAAGGTGATTCCATGTCTTGGCTATTGTGTGCTATGAACATAAGGGCACCTACTCTTTTGCATTAGTGTTTATGGAAACTCTGTGGGGTATAGACGTAAAGGTGGAAATCCTGGGTCTTGTGGTTATTTCCATTCTCAGTTCTTTAAGGAATTGCCATGCCATTTTCTACATGAGCTATAGCAACTCAGTCCCACCAAGAATAGTAGTCCCACCTCCATGTCAACAACACTTGTTGTTTCTAGCATTTTTGATATATGCCATTCTCACATGGGTGAAGTGTTAACTCCTTACTTGCATTTTATGTGTTTACGGGTCTTCTAAATGTTATTTTTGAAAAAGTATCTATATTTGACCTATTATTTAGAATAATATTTTTGGTCTCAAGCTTCTGAGGATTTTACTTATTGAGAAGAAATTTAATGACCTTAAGACTGGAGACATGGTTTATATGACGTCCATCTTTGAATCTTGTTAAAGTTGTTTTAGAACCTAGTACTTGGTCAGTTTTTTAAAATGATTTACTTATTTATGCATACAAGAACTGGGGTACAGGCCAGAGGTGTGGGGTGAGAGGATTCACCAGAGACAGAGTGGGGAACAGAACAGGCAGATCCACTGAAATACATCGCTGAGGGGAGCAACTGGTGAAATAGGAGCGGTCAGCTGCACCATTTGGGTCACCATGTGTGGCCAGGGATCAAACTCATGCTGCAGTGGCTGAGATAGCTTCACAGTGCTGCAACTTAATCTTTTGCCACCAGTGAGGCCTCTTAATAAATTTTTATAGTGTTCTTGAGTGCTTAAATTTGTAATTGTTCAAATTTATTGTAATTGTTCTATTTATGTTCAACAACTCAAATATGCTAATTATCTTTTCAAATATTGTAGACCCTTGCTCCTTGTCTGCTTGACCTATCAATAATTGAGTTATGTTAAAATAATGAACAACGATATACCAGAGACATTTTGCGGGGGTGGAGTGGGGAATGGGATCAAAAATGGGGGGGTGGGGAGGGAAATGCACGGGATTATGGTGATGGCACACGAGTGACTTGGTGATGGGAAACCCATGGGGATTACAATTGAGATGGGGAAAAAAATGTACAAAATGATGTAAAAATAAACTTTTGTAAAATAAAAAAAAATTAATAGTGGTTTTGTATTTTTAAATTGGTAATTCCATTATCTGAAATCTTTGGAAGTTTGTGTTGTTTTTTTTCTGATTCTATCCTGTGGTTTGTTTCTTGTATCTCTTACTGTGAGTTCAGACTTGATTGACCTCTGAAGGATACCTAGAAACCTTCACTGGTGGGTATTTTCATGGTGTGTGTGTATATCTGTATGTGTCTCTCTGTTGAGAGGGATAATCAGACATCACTGAACTTTCCTGTTCAGTTTGGGATTTACAGATTTTGTTCCTCTATTTCCCAAGGGACTTAAGGTTCAAACTGTTTGTGGTGCTGACACTGGTATTTGTCTTCATGGCAATCCCCTCCTCTAAGTATACTTACTACTCACTCCAGGAGCTACCAACACAAAATAGAAAGTAATTTTTACGTAGGACCTGGTTGTTTTGAAGCAGGTGGTGTCCAGATCACCATACTGCCGGAAGTAGAAGCTTTCCCTGCATTCTCAGTTCCACTGCTATCTGGCTCACTCCTCTCCACTCACTGAAGCTGTCTAGCCAGGTTACAAAGGGTGACAGCATACGAGATTCCTTTGTATCGAAAACATTGACATTTTCTAACAATGCTGTTTTGTTGGTTTCTTTTTGTCTTTCCTCCTATCACTGTTTCCTTTTATGGCTCTTCTCTTGTCTCCTATTAAATATTGATAGTCTCCACAGGCTTGACCTTGGCTATTGTCTTTTACTCTTTCTTGGCAGTCTCATTCAATCCTGTGACTTCTGCTACCATCTATATGTTAATTTCAAAATCTGTATCTGTTGCTTAAGTCTTTTCCTTGAAATTCAGTAACTATACCCAACTATCCACCAGGCATCTTTTACTGTAAATCCTCAAATACTTTTGTCACCAAATGAACTCCAAATCTTTCTGCTCTGTAATTCTAAATCTACCATTCCTTCTGTTGTTAGGAGTCATCCTAATCTCTCCCTTCTTTATATGCAGACAGTGACCAAGCTCTACCTTTATGTTTCCAGTCTTAGCTCAATGGAGAGCGGCCTTTTATGACCTTTCCATCTAAGTAGCTCTCCTTGGTTATGTTCCATTTTCATTACAGCTTTTAGATAATTCATAAAATTCTTTATTACTTCTGGATCATTATCTAGCTCCTCAATGCCTGCCCTAGGTGGAACAGGAAGGCACCATAAATTTCATGTGTAGGCAAATGAGTAAGATACACACAAAAAAGCTACAAATTACAAAAATATAACTATGTCTATAATATACAATCACACATAGGTATACATTCTGGCCTGTCCCCATACCACAGCCTCTACTTACCCGAGTCACAAACTTGTTGGCTTCCCAGGCCCACAGAGGTGGGTCCTTATAGACCTCCTTGATGGAGGTAGGAGCTCTGTAGGAATCAGTGTAGGTGCTGATGGGAGTCTTGGTCTTACGGGAAAAGAGAAACATAGTGGGGTCTAGGGGTTGCCACGGTGGGCCCTACCTACTAAGGACTCTTAAATAAGACATGCGTGAGCACCTGTTCTCCCAGACGGCCTACCACTCCAGCCTTGAAGGTGTCTCCAGGTGCTGTAACCCCCTTCTGTGGACAGTCTCTCACCTTCCCTCCCCCACAGCCTTTCTGCTCCCACCACACCCTGCTTCAGGATGGGTACTGCCCATTATGATATCACCTGGCTTGGTATGGAGGCCCAGTGCCTACCCCTGACCTCTGCCTGCCTCAAGCTTCCATAGAGTCCAACTTTCAAGAGTCCAGGAGGCCTCTGGAGATCTTCTAGGCCAAGCTTCACATTTTGGTGAAGAGATGAAGATCCTGTGGTGTCAAGTCACTCACCTGGAGTCATGCAGCTGATCAGAGGCAGGCCTGGCCCAGAAACCCACGAATAGAGGTAGAGTGAAATGTGCTTACAGAGCATAAGTTCTCTCCCCTTCTCAGCCCACTGCCCACAGCCCACACCCAGGTAGGGAGCTGAGGCTGGCTTGTTTGATGCTTTTAATATCATTATTTGTATTACACGATACACAACCAAGGATGATGGTCAATACTGCAATGGAAATGTTAAAAAAAATATTATACACGGCTCATGTCTTCCACACATCTTCCTGGAAATAAATTAGTGAGCACGGAGAAACCTGGCTGGGTGGCAGCCAGAGCTGAGGGTCGAGGGAGTGTTAAGGCAGTATCTACAAGGGGGAAGGTTGGCAGGGGGGAAGCTAAGGCCTCGATTCCTCTCCTCCAACCTCCCAGATAGGGAAGAAGGGACCACACACTCTCCTTAGACCCAGAAGGTGCTAGGTCTACCTCTCTCTACCACCTGTATACTGCCACAGTCTGAAGCCCTTACTTGCGAGGGCACTAGGTATGTCCTGTGGGGAGGGAACTTTTCTCTGGTTCCCTAGGGCCAGAGAGGTTGAGCAGTGGGTCAGAGTCACATAGCAAGTCAGCAGCAAAGGCAGCAGTCAAAATGAGCCCTAGGCGAGGCCCCGCCTAGAAAAGAGGAGACACCCATGTTCCTAAAAGTGAGCCAAGGAGCCTGGGGTAGTGATGGTAGTGGGAGACTTGGCTGTGGAGGCGAAAAATGCTGGCCAGAGTGGGAGAAATGGGCTCAGAATGGGTCTTGTGGGCATTGCAAGTGCCTTGTCTGTCTCCCTTTGGCAATTAATTACCATCTAACCAGGGCTCTTCCACTAGCAGAGGAGGGGGTGGGTTGGAGGAGCTGGGTTGGGTATTGGCAGCCCCCGGATGTCGTGCTCTTGCCACTACTTCCCTCCTTAAAGCACCCCTCTTCCAGCACTGGCATCCTAAGAGTGTACTGTGAGGGTGTCCTTTACATGCCTGCAGCATGTGAATGGTATATGTGAGAATGGACAGACTAGCAGGTGTGGGGTATCAGCATGGAGGCGTGCATACCTTGGCACGGGCATACAGAATCTGTGAGGCTCAGGCCTGAGTAGGCTTATGCTATCTGTGTTTTCTTTTTGCTTTACTTGGAGGCAGGTCTACATCCCCCAGTCCCAGGGGAGGGCCTTGGTCACATCATGTCTCTTTTTATCTTTCGCTTTCCTGACATCCCATCCCTCACCCAGCAACACAGCAGAAGGATGTATATTCTCACTCACAGACTCCTCAAACAGCTACACACACACTAGATATCCTCCATAACACATGCACACACATATTCCCAAATAGATTTGTGTGCAACACACATCCCCGCATCCCACCGGAACTTGTTGCTCTCCCCACACGGGCATGCAGATCCGGACACTCCTAGTTGTACTCAAAGGCACACAGAAATTTCCTAAACATCTCCACAGAAACACCTATGAATAAATTCTTTCATGTATAAAGGACCTTAAAAACCACTTCAGCTGCTGCTCATTTGACAGCTGAGGGAACTAAAGCTAGAAGGTAAGTAGCTTGCTGAAGGCTCCAGCAAGACTTTCAGAGCTCCAGCCAGAACCCAGCCTTCTGACTGGGCCCTTAGTCCATCGCACGAGTACGCTGCCTCTAAGTTAACAGACCACACAGTCATTTCTCCATTGTGATCATGCCTATGACAGGAACAGACATCTGGAGAGACAGCCCAATGCAAAGACACAGACACACACCATGACAGCCTCAGGCATGCACACCTGCCCAGCTCTCCCTGCCACACAGCACGCAGCCACTGTCCTTTCCTAAGCTTGCTTCCATGAAGATTCTTACTAGGAAGTGGCCTCCAGGACTTGGGCCAGAGTAAGATGAGAATGGGGCATTTGAGGTCAGCCTTACCTCCTACTTCCAGCCTGGGACAGAGACCAATGAACAGAAGCAGGTAGGGAGGGGATGGCAGCAGGAAGATAACTGCATTGGTTCAGGTGGTGAGGACAGACTGACTATACTACCCCAAATTCTGGCCAGTCTTTGAGGCCAGTCTTTTCCACCCCTGAAAACAAGAGAAGGATTAACGGAGCAAAGCGGAGGAAGAGGGAGGAGGCAGTGATCCCCAATGGGTGGGTGGGGGGCAACATCCAGCTGGGCAGTTTTGCCAGGCTGCCCATCTGGAGCTGAGGGGAAAAACACACATAGGCATGGACTGGCAGGGGGTGTGTGGCTGGAGCTCTGAGGTGCTAGGCCCTGGCCCCACTGCCCTGGGCCATTCTCCCTCTGAGCCACTCTCCTAGTCAGGCTGGGGCTGAGGGATTCATGGCTTCGCTGGAGTGGGGCCAAGCCCCTGGCTTTGCAATCCCTCCCCGCACTCATTATTGTTGACATCCCTGCTGTCCAGTCCTCCCCCCACACTGGACTGCAGCTTTGGGGGAGGGGGGCAGGGTGATGGGTGAGGTCCCCCAAGTAACTGAACAAACAACCCCCACCCTGCCTCAGCCCCCGAGGTGGAGAGAGACCCGGTTTTGGTTTCTCCGGCTCCATGAACACACAGAGGTACACGTCCTACCATAGGAGGAAGCAATGACTGTTACAAGGTTGGCGACTTTAGGGGGCTTAGGGGCCGGGGGCAGGCAGATGAGCTGGGGAGGGGTCGGCCCCTGCCCGGTCCAACCTGGCCCACGGTGGCCCTGCCCCGGGCGGCCGCTGTGGCCCCACCTGCTACTGAATGTGGCAGGCGGTGGAGGATGTGGCCTGGCAGCACATGCAGGTGGGGTTCACAGACTTTGGGGGGATGAGGTCCAGGTCCTCATCGTCAGGGATCTCATCTAACCGGTAGCCATCCTTCAGCAGCTGGATGTTCAAATCTTGGTTGATCTGCTGTAGACAAAGGGGAGGGAGGTCAGGTTCACAGTCATCAGCTGCCAGACCCATCCTAGCCCAGGTCTCTCCGTCACGTCAGGCCTCCATCCCACTAGGTTCAGGCCCTAGGTCTAGTCTTATTTCCACACAGGCCCCTCCCCGCTGCAGGTCGCACCCCTTCTAAGGGTAACTGCCCATCTCAGCTCCTGTTTTCATTCAAGCTTTTATCCTGGTCCCTGTTTCTGGCCTCCATTAAGTAGCCTATATTTCAGGCCCCATTCTATTTATTCTTTCTGAAGGTCACCTCACCTTCCAAACTTTATCCTAGCCCAGACCTTGCCTCCACAGGGGCTCCCCCTAGCTTTGCCCTTTTCCCTCTCTCAGGTGTCATTTAGCCTTGGTCCTACTCTTTTACTAGATGGTGCTGGTCCTGCTCAGGTATGTCTAGATGGGAAGAGGTGGGGCCTCACCTCAGCAGAGGAGTAGCCAGAGGAAGAATATCTGGACATGTCAAAGTCATCATCGCTGTCCATGGAAGGAAGAGGAGAGGAAGTGATGCCCCAAAATTAAATAGAAAATTCCTTGCATCCACCTCCCCCCAACTCAATCAATACCCACTCCTCCCCCATGGTTCCAAATAAATACACAAAGTGTCTAAATAAAAACTGCTCCCTGTGCTAAAACAGGTTCTGCAGCACCACCCTTCTAAGTAAACAGTCACTCCCCCACCAACCTCCCCATTATCCTAGGCTCATATCACCCTGGTTTTGCTGGGTTTCTCAAAGTTGGGTCTAGGTAGGTGTGTTCCCAGCAGTATAGGGCTCCACTCTTGGAGGGGGGAGGAGTAAGTATTAAGTAGAGACAGTATTAGACAGCTCCACTCTAGAGGCAATCATCAGAGCAGGTGTCCCAGGACAGCAGCAGACAGCACCCTTTTCCTCTCTGTTCTCCCCACCTCCATCCCCTAGGGGACTCACCCTTGGTCAGCTCCTGGCTCTCTACAGAACATCCTAATTCTGATAGTACAGGTGCTATGGCCTGCACAGCCCACTTGTGTGTTTACATGGGTTTCTTTGGCCTGCTTAGCTGCCCCCACATCCCCGTACACACCTGTCCGTGTCAAGGGCTACCAGTGGCTTCTCGTCTGGGCTCTGGTCAAGCGAGGAGTAGCCTTTGTTAGGGACGACCAGCCTGGTGGAGAATTTTGGAGATTGGATTGGCAACTGGAGAACACGCAACTGATAAGGAACTGGGTTGGGCTGTGTACCACCACTCCCCACCTCCACCGAGGGTCCTGCTGAAACTCTCCTCTGAGAGGAGTTGGGCCTGAGGGGGGTAGGGAGGAGGAGGAGGCTCTGGAGTAGCAATAGGTGCCTGTTGGTAGGGTCCAGGTGGGGTAGGGCAGAGGGCCTTCTACCTTGTCCGGGCCATGACATTGTTCTTCTTGGGTTGCTGGTTGACAGGGCTACCCATGCTGCCATTCTTCAGGGAGCCCTTCCGGGCCAGCTCCCGCTGCTTCTCTGCAGGGGAACATGGGAAAGAAGCTATGTCCTGCCCCTGGGACCACCCTACCTTACTGATCCAGGTAGCCTGGCTGGGCTTCCATTGTGAAAATCTTGCTTCTCTAGAAACTGAGGAAGCAATCCCAACTCCAGGCCCTGCTGCTTGGTAGAGGCAGTACTTGGCCTGCACAACATGAGGCAGATAGTGAGGGGAGAAAGGGGGAAGCTGAAGCCTTATCTTCCAGGAGCTACATTCCTGTGTGGAGTCAATCATTATGTACTTGATGCCAGAGAAAGGCTAGAGCAGGAGAGATGGAACAGAAGGATAGGGTAGTCAGAAGGGCTCACTGGATATAACAGTAGAGAGAGGGGGCATTTTAAAAAGGAGGGATAGTATAAACAAAATGTATTCATAAGTGAGTATAGTAAGTGTGGGTTTGGAAGGGCTGGTGGGGTAAAGATAGAGGAAGACTGGGTCAGAAGAATAGGACACATTAATTTTATTTATTCAATAAACACCTGTTACCAATCATGTTTCAGGTCTTGTGCTAAGGGGGTGGGGGCTTCCTTTGATTACAAACTCAAAGCATGAAGGCTTTCAATGCCAGAACTAATGCAGAAGGAAAAGGTGCCACTGAAAGCATGGGAGGGGGAGAATGATGCAGGTAGGGTAGAGGGTGGAGGCTAACCTTTTTCCTCCTCTGTCAGCCTCTGAGTCCTCTGAGGATCCAGAGTCTACCAGGTTCAGGAGGCTGGCCATCAGATGGCCCACTGCTCGGTGTGTAGTATGTTACAGTAAGCCAGTAGCTGCTAGGTCTTGAAGGAGGCTGTATACCCTTTCCTACTCACCCTAAGCCTAGCCCAAGTATTGGGAAATGGACCATTGAGTGGAGAGGGATTTTAGAGGAAAGCTCTCACAAACCAAGGAGCTCACATAAGCCATGAGCTCTAGAAAGGAAGGGTGGAAAGGACATTTCTAGTTACCATGACACTAGAATTTCCCCTGATCTTCATATCTCTGAGTCTCTAATATCCTAGTCTATTACTTTTATTTTCCTCAAGATTTATTTATTTATGCATACAAGAACTGAGGTATAGATCAGAGGTGCAGGTGTGTATGTGTGAGAGGATTCACCAGAGACAGAGTGGAGAAAAGATGAGACAGACAGACTTAAATACACTGCTGAGGGGAGCAGAGGGAGAGACAGGAGAGTTCTGCTGCGCCATGCAGGTCACCTCTCTGCTGCAGATCAAAGTCGCACTGGAGTGGCTGCGGACAGCTTCATAGTGCTGTACTTAAACCCCTGCGCCACCTGGGAGGCCCCTGACTTTTTTTTTTTAATGAAAGTAACAATGCATTACAACATTATACAGGTTTAAGGTGTGCATCATTGAGTCTGACCCTATTTCTTTGTCACTGTTCATTCAACTCCAAATTTCTAGCTTTTCCAGCCAGTAGCAGTTGTTATTACCATTCCAAGCCTCTAGGGGGTGCAACTTGCCTTAAAGTTCTTGGTGGTGCTATTAGTGCAACTGAGACAGGTTGTGAATTTTCAAGAGGAGTTTTGTGGTAATGTAATAGGGAGGAAGAAATGTTATTTTAAAAACATGCTGGAATTGTTTGAGATAGTGAAAAAATGCAAACAGTAAACTGGCAAAACCAAATTATGGACTACTATGCAACCATTTAAAAAGAATGAAGTCATTCTGTATGTGCTGATATTGGAAGGACCTCTAAGATAGTAACTGGAAAACAACAACAACAAAAAAACCCAAGCTTCTTAAAATGTGTAAGTGTGGTACCACTTAATCTTAAAAAACAAAATGAAACTAGAAAAACTGAAAAAAGATTGGAATAATTTTATCTAAGGAGGAGAATGTGATGGGAGAAAGAACTCATACTTGTTAAAATATGTACATTTAAAAAAAGATTTATTTATTTATGCATACAAAAACTGGGGTGTAGACCAGAGGTGTGGGGGGGGTGTGTACGAGAGGATTCATCAGACACAGAGTGGGAAACAGAAGAGACAGATTGACTGGAATACACAGCTGAGGGGAGCAGTGAAGACAGGGAGAGACGGGAGAGGTCTGCTGTGCCATGTGGGGTAGCCCCTTGGCTGGCCAGGGATCAACTTGTGTTTCAGTGGCTAGTATAGCTTGATAGCACTATCTTTAGCCCCTGTACCATCAGGTAGGGCCGAATACGTGTATTGTCAAAGAGAAATAAAACTGATTGCAATTTAAGTCTGACGTCCTAGGAAGGTGAATAAATTCCATGTAGCGAACTGTTTTGTGGTTTAGAAAAGCAGCATGAGGGGCTCCTGGGATATTTTTTTTTTTTTAAAGATTTATTTATTTATTCATACAGAACTGGGGTACAGGCCAGAGGCTCAGGGGCGGTGAGAGGCTTCACCAGAGACAGAGTGGGGAGCAGAACAGGCAGATCGACGAAGTACACTGCTGAGGGAAGCAGCGGGCGGGCCAGGAGAGGTCTGCCACGCCATGTGGTCTCCTCCGGGGCAGGCAGCAGGCGGGAATCGAACTCATGCGGAAGTGGCTTCAGATTCTCAGTGCTGCGCTTTAACCCGCTGCGCCACCAGGGAGGGCCTCCTGGGATATTTTTGAAAGAAAAGAAGCAAGTGTGGTGGGGAAGGCAGTGAGAACTCTTCCTGTATGTACTGTGCTGAAATTTCTTTTCATGAAACCAAAGTTTCTAAAAAAGTAGTTATACACAGCAAGGTTGGATGAGCAAAACTTTGGTCCCTGAGGAAGAGGAGCAGTGCTTGGTGTACGGTGAAGTGAGAAGAGCAGATGCAGGAGTATGGATGACAGTTGTGATCCAAGATTTCAAAGGAACAAGGTTAGTTCATGGAGTGGACATGAACTAATCCCCCAAGGGAAAGGAACCTCAGAAAGAGGGGGAGATATTTGGGTTTACTAAGAAACTAAAGGGAAGTGTTCCCAAACAGGAGCCAACCAGGCCCTGAGGTTGGCTAAGGAAAGAAGGGGAAGAGGAGCCCAGCTTCTAGGCTCTATGAGTCTCATTGCTTTCCACCTCCCTGACATCGCAGCTAAAATTCCCGTCCCGTTTGATGGAGTTTGACTGTCCTTATTTCTGGGGTTTCATGTTTTTAATCCCTGTAGCTATCCCCTGGAATGCCTGGAGCCTTTCTGACCTCAAAGAGCCCTCCTAGAGTTTTGGGTTCCTGCGGAGAATTTTAACTTCCTTTTGGGTCTAACAGGAGATAAGGTGCCTGGCAGTGTCAATAACTTGGTGGCTTGAGTTTTGGAATCCTCTGGCCTGAGTCAGTTTATTTGTGGCATCTCATGGCAGACCCAGCCCAGGATACCTTGTCTACTCCCCATATCTCCTTCACCCCCCAGACACACTCACCCAGCTTCACTTGGAGCGGGGATGGTTTGTAATTCATGGCTACTGACTCACCCTCCCGGGCGTCACAGTCTCCGTCTGAGATGGAGGCGGCGGCTGGATCCTGGGGGGATAAAAGCAGAGAAACAGGAGTTGTTAGAAAGCAGACACAGACGTGTCCTTTCATGCCTGAATCTGGCTTTCCCACCTGTGTCTGGGGTTTCTGGGGGCAACAGGCAAGGAATTCAGGGAGGAAGGGGCAGGCCCTTCTACCATGAGATGAAGACTCTGAGCTAGGTGAAAGAGTCCAGCATCTTGGCCCCACTTTTCACCCACTGGAGAGTCTGATTTCAACTTCCTCCAGAAAGTCTACCACGATTCCTCAAATCCACAGGCTCCTCCAACCTTCCAAATTGCCCTGATCCTCAGGGCCCTTTGTGTATACTTGCTTGCAAAGGCCTTTCCTGTGAGTTTAAGTCTCAATTAAGGGTGGAATAGATGCTCCCTGAGAGATTTCTCCTTTTGGTTGCTCTAGATCTGGACAGGTGTTTTCATGGGATTCAGAGTAAACTAACTGGTCATGTCAGGCTAGACTTGAAGGCTGCAGCCATTGAACCAAAAAAAATTTTTTTCCTAAGATTTATTTATTTATTCATATAGAACTGAGGTACAGGCCAGAGGTGCAGGGGCAGTGAAAAGATTCACCAGAGACAGAGCAGAACAGGCAGATTGACAAAGCACACTGCTGAGCAGAGCACTGGGTGAGACAGGAGATGTCTGCTGCACCATGTGGGTCACCTCCCTGGCTAAAGATCAAACTCTCACTGAAGTGGCTATGGCTAACTTCGCAATGCTGCACTTTAACCTGTTGTGCCACCAGGTACTTTTTTTTAAAGTATTTATTTGTGCATACAGAACTGGGATACAGGCCAGATGTGCAGGGGCGGCGAGAGGATTCAGTGGAGACAGAGAGGGGAGCAGAACAGGCAGATGGATGAAGTACACTGCTGAGGGGAGCAGCAGGTAAGACAGGAGAGGTCTGCCACGCCATGTGGGTCAGCTCCTTGCTGGGGATCGACTTGTAGTAAAGCATCTGCTTTCATAGTGCTGTGCTCCACCAGGGATGGCCCCCCAAAAAAGTTTTAATGAGAACTTTTTCACTTCACAAATGAGTCCTAAAGAGTGTCTACTGGGAGAATCTGTAAGGTTGGCTGGGTATGGCAGGTGAGAAGACAAATAATGGCAATCAACTGGTAGCCAGTTAATCTTGTGTTGTCCAAAATGCAAAACATGGTGCTCAAACTTCTATGAAAAGGAAGGTAGCGCCCTGGTGGCGCTATGGGTTAAGATGCAGCACTGCAAGCTAGCCGCAGCGGCTTCAGTGCGAATTTGGTCCCCTGCCCCAGAGGTGACCCACATGATGCAGCAGACCTCTCCTGACCTGCCTGCTGCTCCCTCGGCAATGTACTTCATCCATCTGCCTGTTCTGCGCCCCACTCTGTCTCTGGTGAAGCTTCTCACTGCCTCTGTACCTCTGTCTTGTACCTCAGTTCTGTATGAGTAAATAAATCTTTAAAAAAAAAAAAAGAAAGAAAGAAGAAAAGGGAGGTATGCATTCTGTGTATTGTCCAGGTCCTACTGCCTCTCTAACCTTGTCCCTTTGTTTGGGCACTGTGCAGACCAGCGTCCTAACCTAGCCACTTGTACAGAAAACAGGGCCCTGGCCTACCCTGCCTCTGTCAATTGGAAGTGGCTAGAGACATTCGTATTTTGCCTGATGAGCAACCATTGATGTGGGTGCTGCCAACCCAGGTGTCTGCCTAGGACACAGACTCCTAAGTCTGAGGTTTAAGGATTGCAGAGGGGTTCAGTGCCTGCCCTGCCTGTGGGGATGCAGAGAGCAGACAGATATGCAGATGGAATATTTTAAGATAAGCCCCACCATGTCAGGCCCAGGGACCTCACTGGCTGCTGGTGACCTAGCAAGGGAAGGATATATAACCTTACAGTGCCTTCTGTTCCCTTTACAATGAAGCAGTTGGAGTGAAAATATGCTTGTGATCCAGAGGAAAGTGCAAAGTCTAGAATGTTTGGGAGGGGCATCTTAGCCTTGTCTGTATTCCTTCAGGTCATGCAGAGTGCAGTTCATTGTGGGTGTGTTGCCATAGTGGTTTTCGTGTTCCTGAGGGCAGACTTGGTCTCCCTCCTTTGGTCTTATCCCCATCTCTTAACATGGCTGAGGAGGGAGCTGGAAGCTCTGCTCAGAAAAGATCAGTGCTAGAGTGCCTGCATCCTATGCCACTTCTGTGCTGCAAGCCTCTCAAGTCCTCCAAACGCTGCCTCCCTGGCTCAGCTACTCATTGAGAGGGCATTATTCAGAGCATCTGTCCATTCTCCCACTGTGAAGAAGCAGATCTTTAATGGTCCTTACATGTCTTTCTGGCCAAAACAGCCTTACAGAGTTACCCAAAAGGGAGACAGAAACCACAGTTGGGCTCTGGCTTTCCCTTTTGTCCACAGGAAGGGAGTGGCCTGAGGAAGGCTTCCCAAAGGGTGAGCCCCATAAACAAGAGTGTGGGACCTACCCACTTCCAACTCTGTCATGTTCCTTTACTTTTTCTGTAGCATTTGTCACATGTCACATATACTAACCTACTGAAGAGGAGGTTTCCTCAAAACTAACCATGGACAAGAAGAACGTCACTGGTTACACTGTAGTTGTGATGGTTTTTTGAAAATAATGTTCCTATGAGGTGTTTTGTTTTGTTTTGTTTTGTTTTGTTTTGTTTATGCTTTGTTTGCAAAAAGTTTAAAAAAACTTTCAAGACACTGTGCTCCTTGGCTCACCTTGCCTCTGACAAGTTTGTCTCTTCCCCCGGCCCTTTGTGTCTTCTCCTGCTCTCAGCCCTCCTTGCCTCAGGGAATCCTAATGTCCAACAGCGTGGATTAATATTTTCGCTCTGGTAACTTCAGAATCTATAGCCTTGCAATACCTAACCTCCCACCTCACCCCTTCCAAGAGACCCTTACGGATCACTATCATTCCCTGAGGCTGACTTTAAAGATAGGAACACTCAGGCATTGGGGACTAACTTTTCTCTGGTCAGTGCAGATGTGTTAATCAGCACTGGCTCCTAGGGTGGAGGTACAGGGCAGACTGTGGGAAGGACAGGGAAGCTGTTGAGCAACTCAGGTCACCAGGACCCACATGTGGTCCCCTACTGGGTAGGTCCTGGTGACATTTGATCCCTGAGTATAACTGCTAAGCCCTTAGGGTCATGAGACTAGGTTGGGAGGTCCCACGAAAGCCCACCATTCAATTTCTTCTCTGTTACTTAAATTCTGTCTTAAAGGCAAGAGCAAAGATCTCTGGCATTGTGCCTGAAAACTTAAGCCCTTACTGTGGCCTTCCTGTATGTCCTCCCTGAGAAACATAGCTAATGCACCATGTCCATCACATGGAAATGTAATCAGGGAGATTAAATGTGAAATCATCATGAATATAAGTATCCGAGAGGAATCCAGGCAGAAGGAAGCGTCTGGCTCCAAGAAATCAGGGAGAATAAAAATTGCCCCCACGGACATCTGACAGGAGTTAGCTAGATCCGGGAACTAGAGTGGGGATTAGCAAGATTGTTAATAAACACTCAGCAGAGACAAACATTGAAATGCATCTCTAACAGCAACCCATGTTTCTGCAACCCTTCAAACAAACTCTCCAAAGACTGCAGAAATGATTAACAGCCCAGTCTCCCTGTCTCTGGGACAGGCTGTCTAGGCTAATGGTTAGTTCACACCAATCTTACTAGAGGAAGACAAAAGGCCAGAGGAATCTTGAGAGTTAACTTGGTTCACTGATTTTCATTCAACTGTGTTACCAAACCCTGTATCCTTTTGGGGGCTGGGGAGATGGTAAGTGTGTGAAAAAAGCAATAGGAGAGGGTCAGGCTTCCTCTGACCAGAGGAGATCCATTTTTATTTCATTTACACATCAGCTTTTCTGGGAGATTTTGGTTGCAGAAAGGGTTTTATTGCTTAAAAAGAAAAGATTAAAATCCATTGATATAATCTGGTTTTTAAAAAAGTGTTTTATTATAGAATTTATTAAACTTCCATAAAGTAGAGACAATAGTATATCGTGAGATTCTAGTTACTTATAACAAGCTTCAACAAATATCAATTTACCAACCTATTCTTTTTATAAATTCTGGTTTCTCAATTTACTAGATGGTGACCTGGGTGTCAGTTTTCTTATCTGTAAAATGGGACTAGTATATTACCTATGTCAAAGGTTCCGGTGAGGATAAAAAGAGCTAATATATGAAAGTAATTAGGACAGTATAGTACATACCAAGCACTGCATCTATGTCCCAGTAAAGTTGTTACTATTACAGATTTGGCGAGTCCCATGCAATCATGGACAGTGTGCCCTAGGAGTGACAGGCTCACCGCTGTAGTCCTGTCACCACACAGGCTGGGGCCTGGCTTACATGTGACAATATCTGTGGAAAAACTACTCCCTTGAGAGGGGTCCTGATTAGGGGGCATTCTGCCACCTCTCTTTCAACACTCCACTACGCTACATTTCCCTCATTTATTTAATAAAGGTAGATAAATAGACATTAGGACAATCTTTATAAAGAGCTCCCTGGAAGGAGCAATAAACATAACCAAAGAAAAGTAGAAAGGGGGGGGATGAGAGAAGGGTCAAAGGAACGAGGAAGGACAACATAACGTAACAAGTATGAAGGCTTAGAGGCATGAACTATGCATTACATTCAAGAAATAGTATTTTGTCATTGTTGAAACCCAGAAGGTAGGCTGAAAAGTAGCAGGAGTAAACTTGTAGGGTGAGGAGGGCTCAGATTATGGTAGAAGATGGGCCTTGATTTTGTTCTTTAGTTAGAAGATGATGAAGAGACAGTGAATTCTTAAGCTTCATGGGGAGTATCATGTCAGATTTGAAGTGGAGAAGGACCCTCTGATTATCATGAAGAAAATGAACAGAAGTGACTATAACTGGAGTTAAGGGTAATTAGAGAATGACTGCAATGGTGCCAGCAAGGAGGACAGGTGCTGAGCTAAGCAGAAGCAGAGAAAAACGGGACAGAAAGGAAGATGTTA